CTAAAAAGGTCGTGGAGCCAAAAAAATCCTGAACTAGATGAAAACATGACAGTTAACATGATAAAGAATTATGTATTTAAAAAGGCGGCAATGCATCATCGATCTGATATCTAGCTTTAACAGAGGTAAAGTCGACTACGCATTCGCAGATTTTTTAATTATGTCGGTGATCCTTGGTGACACCTGTATTCGCTGATCTACAGACGTGAACTTTTTTTAATAGATCCGGGAAGAGACTGGACCTAATGCTAGAAGTATCGCAAGAACCGGACTTATATAATTTGTTGTTATTATAAAAAAATCTTGAATTCGTTCTACGAAGGCGATTCACACATTTCGTATACGCAGTGTTAAAGTTATCTAACACGTATTTCTTTACGCTCACTACCTTGATACAAATAAAGACACAATAGCAGAGAGCCATAAATAGGAAATCGCCGCTCCACTGGCTCGAATAATTCAGTAAGAACCTCAGTTTCACATGAAAATCGTAATTCTGTATGCAAATTGAACTTGCCGGGTAACAGCAAACTTAAATTTTCATTTGCCCCGAACAATATACCTGTCAAAATCCTATTAGCTGTGTAGTCTGTAACCACGAGGGACTTGTTAAATATGTTGTAAGTTTCAAATGTTACAGTAATTATGTAATTATCGATTTTTACATGTCTTATGGACGTACTACTATTTAAAGAGAACCAGACGAGATGTTTTTAGGTTAATTTCGAAAAATTATGTTTAGTTTCATACATTGATGGATTCTATCGCTTTTTAAACTTCTTCTGTACCTGTCAAATTGGCATTAGTATGTGATAAAAAGAGACAGTAACTTAAGCAGTGTATTTTGACATATCTATGAATATTTGTATGTATATGATGCCTCAAATATATTGTTCAGGAAAATCAGTATCTATTTACAGAACGGTGTAATTTGGCTTCTGAATTCTCTATTTAACAATTCAGTGTATATCAGGCACTCAATTTTTTTAAGCATAATTGGATCTAGGTGGAATTTATTCATACATTAACGAAATAGCTTTAGTAACCGCTGACCAAGATACACACGTATCGTTGTTAAGCCAATAAAAAAAAATCTAACAAATGATAAGTTTATAATAGGAAATACTTACAGTGCCACAAAAATATAGTCAGTTTACACTGGTCAACCTATTCAAGGTAACAATTAATCGTAAATGTTTTTCGTATTAACTTTTTTATCAAATTGTTTATCGTGTTTGTTAAGACAGGTAATAAGCGTCGTTAAGGTCATAACTATGACACCAGATTTATTTACGCAGATACAACAAAACTTACACCTTAATTTTTCAATCCAGTTTTAAACATGATAAATTTTGGTTGATAATTCTTCCCAGTCATCGATTTTGGATCCAAGTCATGCCGATTTCGGTGTCTTATATATTTGGGCAAGTAATCATTCCGCGCATAAATGGAAAAACAAGCCCTCAGCATCAGATTAACATCCTTTCGCTCCAGGGACATTCATATCCTACTATGGAAAAATATTCCTACCATAGAAAAAAACAACAACCTTGTAAGGTCAGGGCCTCAGTTCTCATTTGTTCTTTCTAATAGGCAAGTAGGTGATGAGCCACTTGTGCCCGTCGACTTTTGGACCTAAGGATGCTGGTTCCCTTCAAAGTACACGCGAGTCCTTAAACCGCACATAGGCCGAAAATCCCTTAGGGCACAGCCGTGGTCCGAACTTACGACCTGCAGGACACTGCTCTTTCCATGATAAACATACCCAATATAAAAAAATAACTGTAATAATGTTCATTAATTTCTACACAAATTTTCGAACATCTATAATCTATCAGTAATTATTCTGTACAGTCATTGACATTGATATCTGACCATTTTTAAAATAACAACATATTATTTAAATATATTCGTTTTAAACTCGACCGTCAAACAAAGCGATTGCACCGTCCTTCACAGTTGAACGAATGCAGTGTGAAACTTGCCAACATATGACTAAATATGTATTAACTATATTAATTGTATTATTGTAACCTTGAATGTTTTAGAATGTTATAACAAAATCCATTCAAATATAAAAGTCAAAATCTGAGTCTAGCAATATTGTGAAATTAATCTCGTGTTAGTGGAAACATTTACATACAAATATATTATATACCGGTAACTTATATAGCCTTATGTGTATGTGATATATTACAACTTAAAGCAATTGCTTTTTCAACAAAAATCAACCCAAGGCAGTTTTGTTTCTTGTAGGTAGAAAATATCTATTGTTTAAGTAATTTATCTTTTAGCTTATGTTTTGGGGCTTATCTAACATAATTCTTCTTTGTTACCATTTAAATAAAACGTATTTGCAATATTGTTCTGTCAAATACCAATATCGCGGCAATAAATGGCGTTTATCTGCCAACAATACAATAGATTGTCACAATGTCAACTTGGCGTCTCTTAAACGTCAAGTTATGGAAACAGTGTAAAAAAATTCGCGTTTTATTTAAATTTGTAGTACTCGTGTAAACTAAAGACAGTATTATTCTATAATATTTTTATATAAAACTTTTCACTTCCAAGCTATAAATCCTTGAATCAATTATTTACTTTCATATAGATATGGCAACCCTGCCGATTATAGAATACTTTTACCGCGAAAGACGAAGTGCGAGGAGTAAAGGGTAGAGAAAGTGTCTAATAAAGATTAAGTGCCTGAGGGAACTTGGGGCTAAAATATTGTCATCTATAAATAACTTATAAAAAGTTTGTTTTAATTCAGCAAATTCAGCTTATCTTTCAATAACTATATCTGCAGCAGATGTACCAACATAAATAACAGACTACTTGACCTATAAAACTTAATCAAATAGATCACCGTTATTTGTTAATAAGTATGATTTCGTTGTGTGATCCAGGAAACAAGAGGTCTTTGGCTCCCTACGGAATGTGTGCGTGGGCGCAGCTCCCATGAACTCGGGCTTTCCATTGATTTAACTAGTGCTATCTTATCTACCAATAAACGTCTTTTGTCTAAACATTCTTACATTACAAAATAAATCATTTACCACAAATTTTGAGGTTATTTCCTGGATATTTTCTCTCTCCTATTTACTCGCAATTAACTAAAATCTTTTTTTATGGTTTCTTATTCATCGGTTTAACTGCTTTTTGTAGTGACGGAATCATCAACACGGACTACAAGGGCTAAAATGAAGTTCAATAGTTATTGTGTTAATGATGAGATAATCTCCCAATGGCACACGAACAAGGCGTGCCTTTTTGTTTTATTATAGCTCTTGTGCAGAGTCTGTTTCACCGCTGAGGAATCAGTTATCCATGTAGTCGTGGAATGCGTGGCTGTAGCTTCCCAACGAACAGAAATCCTCAGAGCAGTCAGGTCGCTACATAAAGCCTGAGAAGTGTCCAGGAAACCTTCTGAGCTTCTGGAAGGAGCTAGGCTGGCTTAATTAGTCAGCCCTTATCTCTGAGAAGAATTCCCTAATTTCACTATTATCGAATATAATTATTAGAATATTTTAATTTAAAATATTGATTTAACATACTGTATCAGTTATCACCAATTGCTTATCGTTTGCCCCTAAAACGTTCAATAAAGCGGTTGAGAATCACCAGAAACGATAAGAGTTTCTAGAAAAGTCCACATAGACCTAGAAAAATAAACAATTTCCTGAACATTATGCAGTACGATATCTGATAGTAATACAGAAAAATACGAAACCCGACAATTAGTACCAAACAATACTTGATTTATATTGTTAACCACAATAGTTAACTCGCGTAGGCGATGTATTTGCATACTGACAAAAGATGGCGCCAGTTGTTGAAACCGGACTTTTCACTGTCGAATATATAGCTAATGTTAGGCTGAGGTAAAACACCTACAAGGAGAGAGTGGGTATCATAGTTAAGTTCTCAAGAATTAAGAATTTTAATTGGTTTAAACGGTATATATAGTTGACAAAACTAATCCTTTTTACTAAAAAATCTTGCTTAATTAAATTGACACATTATGATGTATTTATTCCTCATGAATACATTCTCAAATCAAAACCCAACACCCCATATTAATCCCATTTAAAACCCAAACGACACTTTGGATACCTAAACCCCAAAAAGTTTAGTAGTAAAAATAAAAAACTTTGAACATCCGATTTCATTACCGATAAAAGATCCGCAATGACTGGCCGATATTAATAAAATTTGCACCTTTTTATGAACGCAATAATTCAATTTAATCGCGTGATATTATATGTTTATGTTCGCTTTCAACGCCAACTTGTTACATTTATTATGCCTTAATCAACTTTGCAAGGCGTTGCATTTTACGAGAGCCACCTATATATGCGACTTTACTAATCTAAGATTCGATAAGTGTATACTATGTAATGGCAATACTTAACTGGAATTGAAACTAGGTAGTTAACTAGTAACTATAGGCAACTTAAGAATGTTTAGGGTCTATTAGTACCTACCAATAGACCCTAAACATTCTTAAGCTATAGTAACATAGTCGTTATTAATATTATAAATGTTAGTAAGAACCGTAATGATAGCTAATGCTTTAAATTTTTAACAAGCTAGATAAGCTTTGAAATTTCTTCGTGAGTTGAGCATTTATATAAATATATATTTATTTAGGTGACAAAAATGTAATGTTAATATTGTAGTGATTGTCCGCCCAATGAGTCATGGGGCAAATCTGTTTCTTCGTCTGAGACTGAGTAATTAAAAGGGTAAGTACTAGCAAAACAATTAATGATTTGTAATAGAACTGCGGACCCTCGGTTTAAACGCTACATGGGACAATCACTAAGTCTCCAGGACTAAGATAAATCATTTATTAGGTAACTGTAATCTTTACTTTCAAGTGTAAGAAAAGCCAAAATGTATTTTTTCACATCTTGTTGATAAGAAAAAATGTCGATATATTATCAATTTGTGATCTGTGTAGAACTAAGAATCATGTGTCAGTGAAATCTCTTAAGATGAAATTATTAAAAATATTATTATTAGGTAAGGTTTTAATGTAATTTAACAACAATGTATATTTAAAATAATTTCATCATTTTATCTCAATATTTATTTATTCAATCGAATTACTATTTTAATTTAAAGAAAGTAAAAAATTCAAAAGGTCCCTGTATCCAAAACACTTGTAATTATTTAAGTAATCGTTACAACAAAAATATGCTGTCAATACTTTAGAAATACCATTCGTAGAAATTACGAGTGGTAATCTGGTTCTATAATATCGCAGTTAGAGTGCTAATAGAACACAACGTCGACACTTTGGTATTTTTGTCATCTGATTTCCAACGAAAATCTTTGTAATTTCTAATTAAATTATTTAGTGTGATACAAAGCTTCAGTGTATTCTGCAGTAGTTATGCCATGAGAGTGCCAACATATGAGTTTTAGAGAGTATTAAATCATAAAGCAACCGCCTAGCAAGCAAGTTGTTTTGTTTAAATATCTTATTTTTAAATTTTGTTTTAAAAATCTTACAAGAAATTTAAACAAATATATGACGCAGTTTTATTTTACGATAACGTTTATTACAGTTTCATTGTTTTATAAAGTTTAATTTCGTACGTTTTTTTTATGATCTTTGATTTAAATAAAATCTATTGTTTTGTGTTCCGCGAATTATACTGTTATGTTAACGCATAAATAAAGCGTTATGAATCCTCATAAAGATATATCGTTACAATCAATCTATTTCCAGGATTAATTTTTTCCATACCACGATCACTTAGTAAGTCTTTAGAACGCATAGTAAACGGCGAATTAGTGGATATAACAGAGGTCCCTTATCAAGCGGCGCTGAGGCGCAAAACTACATCGGGATGGAGTCATTCCTGTGGAGCGGTTGTGATATCTACTAAGAGTGTGTTGACTGCTGCACATTGTGTGATTGGGTAAGTATATAATTAGAGCCATAATGCCGAAGGCACAACTATCAAGCTTTCACTACGTAGCAAGTACTGTATCTAAGAATAGGAGAAGACATAATTTTTTCTTTAAAATGGACTTCAAATGGTCACACTCTGCAATTGCTTCAAAGTGTTTAAATACAAAGATCGCGTCACAAATCAAATATAAACAAAAATTATTCTATATTGAAAAAATGTATTCACCTATGCAAATGAATTAATTGTTTATAAGCCAAATTGAATAGACTGATGTTTACCTTGGTCGTAATATATGATGACTACAGATAATTGAAACCTATATTTCAGTCACTTATAAGATAATCATTGTGCCTTTGCTAGTTGACATTTCTTAATAAAAGACTATTTATCATAAAGTTAACTTCTAACCGAAAGATTGAACCAACCTGTAACCATTCTAAACCGATGTAGCCGGGCGTATATTGTATCATGTTTTATTGTACATTTTAGAGATAGAATATCTTAAAAAAAACCATTCCAAACCTACATTATTTTTATATAACTAATGTTATTAAAGTTACTGTTTTTCCAGTTATCAGACTGATCCCTCATCGTTAATAGTCGCTGTGGGTACTTCATTGCGTTCTGAGGGTATCACATACGCCGTGGCTTCTGTTTACCCTCACGAAGGATATTCTTCAGTAACCGTTGATAATGATATTGGTTTGGTGGCTATTACTGGCACTATTAAATTCGGTGAAACGGTGATGCCAGCAAATATTGCACCTTCGCTTCTCCAAATACCAGTTGGAACCCAAGCTATCGTATCTGGATTTGGTAGAACGGAGGTAGGAATCATTAGTAATCCTATAAAATAAAAAAACAAGTCTGTTTGTTTTTCAATGTTGTTAATTTCTTAGTCTTGGTTTTTAAGAATGCTATATGTAAATCTCTCATATGTGCCTTATTTATGCGTTAAGTAAGTTTGATACTATGATAGTAGAATAGACTTTTAAAATACCGATTTCACTGTAGTTTTCAGTTGTCAATTCAGAGTTCATTGTGTTATGATATAAGATACATGATAGGTACCAGAGTAATTACATTAATGAGTATGAAACAGACTTTGAATGTTCTGGATTGTACTATATTATTTTGTGTTCATTACTTTTCAGTATGACGGCCAATCCTCCAATCTACGAGCTGCACTTGTAAGCATTGTATCACAAAAAGAATGCGCGATGTCATACCTTAATCTGGGTGTGATCACCCCTGGAATGATTTGCGCAGCAGCAAATAATCCACCAAGAGATGCCTGTCAGGGTGATTCAGGAGGACCATTAGTTGTCACAAACACGGTCATTGGGATAGTGTCGTGGGGAGAAGGTTGTGCCAATTCTAGCTACCCTGGCGTATACACCAGTGTTTCGTATTTTAGTGCCTGGATACATTCTTATTTAGATCTAATCGAATGAATTTCTAGATAATGATAGTAAATTTAATAAATATATGTGGTTTTATTTTAATTTAGAATTCCGTTTAGCTAATAATACACTCTTTATGTTACATGAAAAGAAAATAATTTTCGAATTGTGTTTTATATATTATATCTAAACATACCACAGTACAAGTATTCATAAACAGATTAATATTTTCCGAACGCGCAGAGGACAAATGAAACCAGTGATTCATAACTATCATGCAAACCTTGACAATGACAATTGTCGACTCAAGTTTAAATATAGAATTGTTATCACTGTGTTGCCACCTTCAAGGGAAACTTTAGAAATGTTGCCGCAAAGTGAAAAGATTATTGAAAGTTGGTCTACATTAAAGCGGGTATCACAGACTTAGAATATTATCTGGATTCAAATCACAGAATCTCACCGCCTTTGATATAGATTGCGTCTCAGTAAACACTTTAACGAGGTGAAAGGTAAAAAACGACTTACGTCCTCGCATTATAAATACGGAAACACTTAACCCCCTTATTTATAATTTTGACGCTTTTATTCTTATCATAATCATGTTGACATACTTAAAATTAATACTAAAAATTTAAATTCAGAACTTGCGAACAAAATCTAGTAGCTTATAAGGTAATTGTCATATTTCATATGCTTCGTTGTTTTTACGTCTTCCTCCTTGCGGCTTTTTTCCTTTTTAATTTAACATAGCGATATTTAAGGAGGTCAATTAGGCAGCTTTCATCAGGCGTGATAGTAACTAAACATTAAGTCAGGTGCAGCAAGTAGATTGGTATTCTGTAGTTCTTGAACCGGAAGCCGCGGCTATTATTAATAATGTCTACATTGAGACTCGCAAGATTATGGGTTTATATCTAAACCGTAAATAGTTTGACAACGTTAAGAATGCTCTATTAACAAAAAGACAAAGCAAAACAAATATAGATCGTTATTAATATCTGAGCGTGGGCGTATGCGTTTAAAATATTCCATTCAGTGATCTTTGTCATTGATAAGACATTGTTTTTGTTTTTAGTACAAATCTTAGGTTTGTAAAGGTAAATGAACTGTATAGAAATATATTTCGTTGGTCTACTGCAAATGGGACGATATAAATGCCGAGCGCATACAGAGATAAGGCACACATATGTTTTAATATATGTACCTACAGCTCCGAAACACATTAACTGATAGACTATTTTTTTAAATTTAGTTAGGTTTATAGGAATCTTAGAGTCATTATATTCATTTTTATTGGCTAGAAAATATTGTTGTGTTATTAAATTTGTTACCGAAAACCGACACTTACAGCATCCTTTCCAACATTAAATACTACATACAAATACATACTCCATTGTATAACCTCCTTTAGAATTTATTAAGAAGAATAATATTTTGACAGCTTGGTGGCCATATTAATAAATATTAACAATGACTTCCATAATTGGTGACCCCGACGAAGAACAGTATACTTTTGAATACCGGAAAGTATTCAGAAGAATGTTGTCATAATGATGAAAAAAAACTTGTCAAATACATATATATATATGTATATGCATATGCATAGGATGTGTCATAATCTAAATATCAAACGTTTGAAGGGTACAGCTTACCAGTCGTAGTCCTCGACGGGTACGTTTCGTATGGCCGAACCGTCTAAAAAAAAGACTGAGCGGTGTTCCGCGGCACCAGTACTCTGTAACTCATGCGAATTTGCGATAACGATCCCGACATCAATGTTGAGTATTAAATCGTGCGACCTTGGGTATTAGAAGTTACAGAATTCCGTTGCAGCTCCTCTAAAACCTTAAGAATAACAAACTGGAAGCACGTAGGACGGTACTCAATTGGCGGTTCTGGGGTGACTAGACCAAAGCTTTCGGTACTGTCTTTGTGCTGATGATTTTTTAAAGTCAAAAGAAATAAAGAAGAAATTAAAAACATATGTTTTGATTAAATCACACATAAAACAATCTTTAGATTAATTAATAATTAGTTTACTAAACTAACTTAAAAACAGTAGTGGGCCCAACTCAGCTTTATGTTGCTGTCACCAGGAACACTGATTTTCAGTGAAGTAGGTACTATAATTTCTTTTTTTATAGAACGGGAGCCAACGGGAGGAGGTTCACTGATACTACCGCACATGGAAAGTCACATTGCCAGAAGGCTCGCAAATGAAACAAATGAAGTTTCATTTATTCATATTATATAATATGAAATATAATATCTTATACCAAAAAAATTTGCAGCCCTTGTAGATACAAAGATTACGCAGTAACAATACTCTAGTTAATTCGCAAGTTTAGTCAGCGCTGCCAGTGATTGATTGCTATTTCAAAGATTCGATTATGATAAGATCATTGTGATTAACTGTTAATATTTTACGCAAATCTTACCCTACTCTATGAATAGATAGATTAAGTTAGGATAATGATGTTTTATAAAATGACTATCTAATTGTATATTTATAACCAGTAAAAATTATAATTGAAACCCCATAAGATTTCAGGAACATTTTAACCTAGGTTGTGACTGGGACCTTGTGTGAATAAAATGTGATATTTTTGCTAAGAACTTATTTTATTTAAGCGCGCGACGTACTTCCAGCGGTTGAGGTTAAATGATTATCAAAAAAAATTATGATACATAATTAAAAATGTCACATTAATAAATAGAAAAGGAAATGAAATTTTAACTAGAGTAAAGACCTAAAAGTAATCGTATCGGTTTGAATTTCGGGTCCCTAGGTGGCGCTACGCGTACTCACAAGTACGTATTTAGTTAATTGAATGATCATTTATTTTTTAATACGATTCCGTCTAAAATATGTATTATAGTAATATCGGAAATTATGTTAAAAAGAATTATTTTTTATACAAAAAAAACCTAAAAAAATATTCCATTATTTTTATTATTAAATAAGGAAAAAAAATCAGTTAAATAAATTTAATATACTACACCACAATAACAATTTCATGTTATCAGTTCTGACGAAACTAGGCTGCTGATAAGGTGTCGATAAAAATTCCCAGATCACGTCACTATGCACTATTCAAAGGTAGAATTTAAGTATTGAATATTATGTCTAATATCTAGATTTAGTATTAAAAAAAATAACTCAACTTTTTTAAAATAATATAAATTTGATAAGTTTTTCACTATTTTTACTAAGAGTATATTACTGGACCATTTACTTTAATTTAATAAAAAATTTTTTAAAGCTATTCAAATAATAGATTTTCCGATAGCAATTAAATTATTGGTTTAATTAAAGCCAACCCTTCAATTAGAAAGTTATTTACAACGTGTCGCAAATATTCAATTCGATTAGACTGAGCATCTAAGCGATACCAATAAGTACGTATAATACAGTCCCTCGGCCTATTACCTGGCAATTTCACAGAACAATCTACTTCGTGTACAGCACACAATGACAAAACACACACTGGCTTTGTAACCGAGAGGGATAGCACTCCCCGCGATTTGTTTACACAATGTAGCTTTCCCTTTCGCGGTTCGCTTGTGTGCGTGCCATCTGGCGGGTGGCAGCGTGCGCGTGTAGTTGTGTCGCCCCCACATACACCCTTCGGGGTTGGATTGCGCGTGTGTGCGTGACCCAGTCGAATAAATCTAATGTAATACACACAAACATATTGGTACGGCGTGTCATTTTTACGCTTGTGTTGTCGCTACTTGGGGTTCTTTATGCGGTGCGATGATATTATTATTCTGACGATTACGGCATCCTTTATGCTTACAATAAAATAATTAATAAGGGATGAAGTGTATTGTTGCGCGGCAGTTAGTGATTGGTATCAGTCCACTTTTCATTCATTGAAATGTTTTATTGAAATAGAGGTTAATATTTTGTTTTACTGCGGAAGTTTAACGTTTAAAATAACATACAAAATCTTCATAATTAAGGGTATGTAAACAAAAATACTATGAGTTTTTATAAAGAGAAGATCTATAATAATATGTATGTACTTAAGTTTTTGTTAGACGTAATCGACACCATGAATGAACGATCAACTCTAGCGCCGACGTGGGCATCGCGATGACGTCAATACTACGATTCTACTATCAATATTTTTTCACTATTTATCATTCAATAATCCTTATTCTATCGTATGTAGAAAGTTCTTTTGGCTTCGCTGATAATAAGGCACGTAGTAAACTTACTTTGTCTACCAAATACATATACCTGCGGGTGTTTTATATTTAACCATAGTCCAGTGGATTCAAACCTAGGACCGTTAACGACTAAGCAACAAATATTATGAAAAAAGCTAAGTGAATAATAATATAATATATACGCAAATTTCGTTAAATTTTCCATTGTTTAATCACGTAATTAGCAGACGGCGTTTTTTTCTGCTCAGCCGATGACGGAACAGTTGACAAGGCGTTCAACCCCCGTTCAGTTTAACAATTACGCGCTGGGGCTCATTGTGACAGGACCCTACCTCAACCATTGTGGATACTACACACGACCAATCTATTTGAGCTCTTAAACGTACAACAAACACAATTTTTTCACGTTAACACTCCTAATAGAAGGGGACGAGGGAGGTCAACATAAAATAGAAATCGGTATACAAATATTATTATCCAGCTTGTTCACAAATATCAATAACGTATTACAGGCCTTGGGCCAGATTTAAAAAGTTAATAAAGTACTAGTTATTGTTGATTTATTTGTCTCATTAACAAAAGACAATCTAATGTCGGATTAATACGAAGGTGATAAAGTGTAGAAGGAAGCAGGTAGTAGATTATAAAAACGCTGGAGGGCGTGACAGGCTCGGGGACTTAATTGTATGATTTTTAGGTTGACCTAAAAAGTACTGTTAAAACTCGAACGCTGACTTTTTGTGAACACAATACAATACAATTTCATTTATTTATTTTTGTTGCTATGACGCAATTAATTACACTAATTTACTTACAATAAATTAATTAATTACATTAATTTATTTACAGTAAATTAATTAATTCAATAATCC